GTCTGTCTGCTCGACAATTGTTTGCATTTTTCGCGATGATAATTATGATTTTTTGTAATGCGAAACAGCGTAATGACAGCAAGTAAAGTGACGGAATAAAAGCTGTTTGGATGGAGATAATAATGCTAATAATGCGTATCGAATATAATGTCGATGGCATGAGATATGACATATACGAATTATTAAACTTTGAAAAACAGAAGGTAAAGGAACGAGGATTTACGTAATGATATTGACACGTGTTAAACATTTAAAATCTTATAATACCTATTTCTGAATTTTATATTGTGATTTATGATGATAAAAGAAATTTTTATTAATCAATTTTTCAATGTATATTCTAAATTTTCCAATATGTATTTTTCATCCAACTATAAATTTCTTTAGAAATACTTAGGTCTAATTATCTATAAGACTAAAATGTCCGATTATTGTCTATTGTGACAGTAATAACGTGAAAATCCGAAAAAATTCCTATGGAATAAAATACTCTACTGGAACACAGAAAAAGTTAAAGTACACAACTAGCTCACGGTACAATAAAAATAAAAGAAAGAAAATGAAGAACATTGAAGAAACGTTCACGAGACAAACGAGAGAAGTGCACCGAATTATGGATAGGCGAGCGTATGTAGAGAGAAAAGAACAACGAGCGCGAAACTAAGGGGCGAGATAGAAAGGTAGAGCGAGAGAGAGAATGAAGAAGCGAGTCTGCGAACGTCAAATCCTCGCGAAGCCCCCGGATATCCGTCGGCTCCTTTACGGAATTTATTTTTAATGAAGTGGCGTTTCTCTCTCTCTCTCTCTTTCTCGCACGCACGTTGTGGTCCTCGCAAGATTTTCGGGAAATCTACTGAAATCCTCCGTGGCCACGGCAACGCTCTTCTTCGAGCCAGCTTTCTGTTCCTTTCTCTTCGACGCGAAAAGACGTAGGAGTAGCAAAAGGAAAAGATAGCGGAGGAAAGTTAAGAAAGTGGCGGAGACGAAGAGGATCGGCCGAGATATAAGAGACGTACGTAAGGATAGCCTTCATATATTTCCCCTTTTTCGAAAGGTCCCTCTTCGAGAACATAGAACAACATGCGCGCCAGGACAGTTTCGCGAGTTTCGAGAGGTCGTAGGTGCGCATACGTCGGGAAACGGAGACGGAGGGATGGTGGATAATATAATGATGGCGTCGGCTGGGCGAGGAGGGGCGGGGCTACGAGGGGATCAATATTATCCTCCTCCACCTCCACTTCCGTTTCCTCGTCCCATGCTCATCTCTCTTTCTCCCTTTCTCCCTCGCTTTCTGTCTCCCTGTTTCTCCTACACCCACGACTAACCTTCCCTCAGACTCCCTCTCGGGTTTCCCCTCCGATGCGACCACCATCACCATCTCCACCCTACGAATGTCAGGTTGCTCTCCCTTCTACAGCCACCCGCGGCTTCCTCCTTTGGGCTCGTCCTTCGGCTCTTCTCTCTCCTTCTTCTCCCTTCATCTTGCGAGCGACGCGAGCTCGCACGAACTCACGCGAATTTCGCACGGAATGGGCGAGATCGTTAATCTAGACGCGCAAAAACGTAAAGAAACTACGCGACGTTTGAGATATTTATATTTTATATGTTTACATGTCGCAAAGGTACTTTCAAATTTTTTTAATTTGCATCCCTATCAATATAGAGTGAATGAAAGAAACTTTTCTATGAAATGTATCATTTTCAGAATCTTACTATAGTTTGCATTTGTAATAATAATAATTAATTATCGATAAGATTTATCAATGTATATAATTTGTTTATGCGACAACCGATATTCATCGTAACCTTCGCTCTAAAATATAAGTTGGTTTACCGAAATAAATCGCAGCGTCAGCTTTTTCATACGAAATGCTTGATGGCTTTTGATGGATTCATTCGTTATATTAAATTTTTGTTATATCAAATCTACGCGATGTAAAAGGAAGTCTGTACCGGGCTTAATCGATTACTGGTTTATTCGAAAAGGAATACATATTTTACAGAACTCTAAATCGTCGAAAAGCAATTCGTAATATAAAAAAATAATAAATATAATATTCATTTCGTCTTGGATTTCAATAAATATAGTGATGCGCTGTAGGATATGAAATTAAAGCAATGTGTGTTAATGTATAAAATGCACCTCATTTTTTAAAACTACAAGCTTCTATTGTTAGACGATAGATACAAATTTGAAGTCAATTTTATCGGCATAAATAGCATATGTTTAATAAAATAATAAGCATTTTTCAACCTTAATTATATTTTGCTTCGCTAATATATGGTTAATAGCTGATAAATAGCGTTACGTATAAACAAAGTATAAATAAAAACGCCATAAAATAATGCACCGGTTCGATAGGATATCCTTCGAAAACCGTTCCGTTTAAATAGACCTTACTTGAGAGCTGGGCTCCAAGTAAGGCTCCGGCTATAAGACTCTCTCTTGACCGAGGAACTAACGGCGCGGCGTGGCGCGCAACTTCTGAGCGCAATGGAACAAATCGCGGTTACTCGGAGAGCCCGGAGCCCGATGTTAAGTCACGGGATTACCGCGGACGGGCCGGTGCCGGTGTTCAAGGGTGTCTATGTAACACGTAGACGTATGTGCGGCGCGGAAGACGACCGTAGGAGAAGAGCGATGCCGCCGATGGAACGGGATAGGAAGGGGGCCGTAGGGGGGTGTGATTGATGAGGCACCCCCCGTTACGGTCTCATTACATTTATATAAGCTTTCGTAGATTGAGCCGAGCGTGCGCGCGCGCGCGCGAGCGGGAGCGAGCTAGAGGCTTACACGGTGGCGAGGGGTCGTGATTTGATGAGGTTTTATTGCCCGAATGACGTGACGGGGCCATTGTTCTCCGAGCCGGTTGCCAGGCGGGAAACAGTGGATTCGATTTATCGTGTCTCTATACCGGACCACCGTGCTTTGACATTTTTCGACGCTGTCGGAGAAATCAGTCGGATGCGCTGCCTCCGTGATTTCGATTAATCGCCAAAAATAATGCAGAATTTTATGACAGATAGATATTTTATAATCATGTCACTTTTTTAGCATATTAATAAAAATTACACAATTACGATAAGCGTGCAGTTTTACGAGAAAACGTGGTAAACAGATTTTATATATCAATGCACGTTGCATCAGTTTACTGTACGGATATTCATCAAATTGGATTGAAACTATTAATGAGATTAATAGAATATATTGATTTTAATTGTATCGTAATTTATTGTCGGAGAACGTGATACGCGCCGTTGATATTTACGTCGCGAGGACGATTTTTCTCACGATTCAGAAAGATCATTCGGTCAATAGCTGAAATCTAGTCGGTCAAACGATAGTCTCTACTCAGGATTCGAGGATACATTCGTCAAATTTACGACCTTATGAATCAGAGGCATTACGATTCTCCTGACGGTTCCACGTGGTGTTAGTCGAGATTCCGCGGCGCTGTTAAACTTTATGGGCGCGGCACCTCTCTCTTGTGTGTACACGGGTGCGCCTTTGCGCGAGAGAGTTTATTGATTCTCGAGTCGCGGCATCTTTCGCCCGCCGTACCATTCTGTCCTATCGAGTTTACTCCCTCCTGGCTTACCGTCGTCGCCCATGGCGTCTCGCGGCTACCGGGGCCGCTTCGTAAAATTCAATGATGTTCCTCGTGCGGCTTATCGACGCGAAAAAAGATACACGCCTATACGTATAAACCTTTTGCCAGTTCAGATCAAAAATAAAGATTTCACATGTAGTACAAAAGTAATACAATAATAAATTTACGATATATTGCAATAACTGATATCGCTCGTTAATATCATATTAACGATACAGAAAAAAATACAATATTGTAGAAAAATTATAATAAAAATAAAATACCCTGCTTCTCAATGAAAAAAAAAGGCAATATAAAAACTAGAGTGAGCATAAATCAACGAGCGAGATTTTACATTAAAATCTCAATGAATTTTTGATGCATCTCTACCCACATTTCGTAAAATTATTCCATCCAGTTACACAATCGAGACTACTAACAAATTCAAGCTGTTACACGACGTTCCGGGAATAATCGTCGAGAGAGGAAAGGACATTATTCTTCATTAGCTAGTCTTTCGCCCCCACTTTCAATGACCCGGCGTCGCGCCTCTTAGCGTTTCCACGGTGTGATCGTAGGGCCATCCATCTTACGGAGTATTCTCCCGACCTTCTTCAGCATTGCTTCATCCTCAGTACCATCCTTCGTTTCTTCCTTCCTTCCTACCTTCCTTCCTGCCTGCTATCCGACCCTCCCTTCATCGAATACTTACGCCACGACCCTTCGTACGTCGTATTTTCCCGTCCCTTGCCTTACAGTTACGCGAGAGCGACATGTATCTGAGCGCAACCACCCGTATAATTGTTGGGGGCGAGCTGGGACGAACGGCGAGAAAGAGAGACGACATAGTCGGAGGACCCCGAGGGTTTGAGGTTGAAGGGCGAACGAAGGGATGGGAAGAGGGTGGAAACGGCTGACGAAGTTTGCCCATAGTATCGAGCGCGGGAGAGAAGGGCCGCCTTGAATTAACGCCGTCATATTTCAGGATGGAGGAGTTTGCCGGGGTTTTCTTGCTATTTGTCTCGGGACTCGCCTACCGTCTACTACGGAGCGGAACCGCCGCCCGTTGCTTTCTTCGTTGCGTTCGTGACTAATAACCCGTGGCATGCGAGCGCTCGCGAAATCTCTGGCAAGAAACTCTACGGGTTATTGCGCCTTTCCTTCTTCTCTGTTGTTCATGCTCGATGTACGAGCTATATAACATTAGCAGCGAAATCTGATGAACGAAAAATAATATTTATCTGATGATAAAAAAATAAACCGCAGAATATTTAAGAAAAATGCTGTTTATGTATCATATGATTGAATTCAAAGTAAAGATTCACCGAACTGATCATCTGTCAAATTTCTCAAATAATATTGCATATTATAGTTAATAAATTTCGCGGCGCTATGTTTTTCTGCTTCTAGGTTTGGTTCAAGAACCGGCGAGCGAAATGGCGGAAGAAGGAGCGTAACGCGATGAACGCCGCCGCGCAAGCCGCGGCGGATTTCAAATCTGGCTTCAGCACGGCCAGCTTGAACGGCTTCATCGCCCAACCATTCCCGGATCCGGATACTCTCTACAGTTCGTATAGTACATACAACAACTGGGCGGCCAAAGTACCATCGCCGCTAAGTGGGAAGAGTTTTCCCTGGATGAATACTTTAGGCTCGGTAGTGCCTACGGCATCGCACCATCATCATCACGCGCAGGTCAGTCCGGTGAATCCCTTCAACGCCGCAGCGACATCGGTTGCGGGCAGCCACGTGGGCGGCATGTCAGTGTCAGTTGGCCAAGCGGCCACGTCCATGTTACCGGGCATGGGTTCCGGTCTGGGCGTCGCGAGTTCGCCGGTTGCCGCATCCGGGGCCGCGTGTCCTTATGCAGCACCGGCTGCGCCGCATCATCCGTATGGACCTCCGGTTTACACGCCGCATCATCGGTCGCCCGAGTCCTGCACCGTGATGACATCGAGCAGCATCGCCTCGTTGCGTATGAAAGCGAAACAGCACAGCAGCGGTTACGGTGGCGGCGGTGGCGGTTCTTTCGGTGCGGGTGGTACCACCGGTGGTACCACGGCCGGTAGCATAAGTCCCGTCAGCTCGAGAGCGTCG